TCCCAACTGAACAGCAAGTTAGCAGGCCAAGTGTTACACAGCAGCTCATAACAGAAATGGAAATGTTGCTGCGCATATCCTAGAAGCTTTGATGGTGCACCCCCTGTCTGCCTCACTGCCTGGGGAAGACGACAAAGCCACCATCTCTTCCCTGGAGGTGCCCAAACTCCCCAAGCCTTCATTCCCATACTGGCCAAAGCCAAGGAAACTACATGCAAGTAAGCTTCCATCCAAGAGATTTTCTTCTAAGCAATTCCCCCATTCAGTGTATTTATTGGAGTCATGTTAAATAAGATGTGACTGCAAATAATTTAAATTTGCAAATGTAAGCTTCCTGTTGCCATAGATCAATTAAGCCCTCTCCGTTTTATTGCCAGATTGACACAGGCATGTTTATCACTGTTTTCCTTGGGAGCCCCGCTCTGCCCTCTGTGTTCAGCAAGCGCATCAGGCAGCCCAGGCAAACCACTCAGGGAGAACCCTGCCCTTTCTCTGTCAGGGGAGAAGGAAAACTGAAGCTGGAACAATGGTTAACAAGCTCTCTCTGCCAGAGCTGATCAAGGAACCAGCATCGGCTAAAACTGAGGATCTCCTTATTGATCGGCAAAGTACAAGTAAAATGTGAAAACCTCAAAAACAAGCTCCAGGAAGAACTTGGAATAATAGATATTCAAATATTCTCAGTAGCGGAAATTGTTATGACCTCTCTTAAGGGCAATCTGACATCTGTAGCGAAGCCCTCTGACAATTCTGTCTCCAGGAAAATGTCCCAAGCAACTAAGCAGAGACATATTCATCAATCAGTATTACACGGATACTTATAATAGAGATATTTATAACAGTAAAAAAAATAAAAAACAATCTGGGAACAATCTAAATACCCAACCCTGGAAAAATAAGAGAACATTAAAACTTATAATGGAGAATTTATTGAGATGAAAAAATACTTCCAACAGAGTGTAAGCAAGAGCATCATTTTTAAGATATTTGGCATTAACAAAGACAAGTGGTAACAATGGGGATTTCCTCCAGCTTAACTTGTGAGATTATCAGTGGTTTGAGAGAGGGTTTTTTTTCACACCTTACTGAGTTTTTCAAGATTTCTACATTGATCATTGTTGTTCTTGCTATAAGAAAAAAGTACTCAAAAAATAAAATCTAAAGTACAATTTCATGCACGTGTAGACAATGGACTCATGATCATTAATGCATTCAAGTTCAAAGGGCAACACTACTCCTATCAGCTGGTTAGCTCCCTGAACCTTCTATTCCCATTCCGGGGTGGATGGCAGGACCCTGCCCCCCAGGACTCATGTCCAGAAAGAATGAGATCTGGGAGGAAAGGTGGAAGAGATGAATGTTTTGAGTCTTTTAAAGGAGCCAGAAATTGTATTCAGACCTATTGTCTTGCTTCCCTTTCCAACTTCCAACCTGACAGGGCACACAAAGTCCCAGGAACTTCCATTCCCCAGGACAGAGTCATAGAAACAGCACAGCCTGAATTTCCATGACCTTCTACATGGAGGCGTAACCAGTTTAATACTGGACAACCCAAAGGAGGAGAGGACTCGTGATAGTTAATGCAGAGAGAAGGCTGAAGTGCAATGCAAAGGAAAAAATATATAGTGACTTAAAAGTTCACAGCTTATACATCCATAACCACCCTTCCCTCCAGCACATGCAGGGGGCTATAGGGAGAATCAGCAGAACCATCACTTCATAAGTGAGATTAATAATGATGATGGCATATGGCTAGGAATTAATGGTAAGATGATAGAGAAGGATGTTCCTAATGTGAGTGGTTAATTGAAGCCTGGTACCTCCCTTTTAACTAACATCTTGGCAAGAGTAATACAAATGAGGCCACACAAGAAGAAATTCACATGTTGGCATATGCACAGAATATCTCTGGGAGATTACAAAAAGAGTGAGTAGTGCAGAGGAGAACTGGGAGGCTGAAGGACATAAGTTCGAAGGAGACTTTCTCTTCACAATTTGAAGCTGTGTCATGTGCACATATAAACTATTCAAAAAAAAGAATAAATAGAACTCCTTGCCTGAAAACAAATTTTGCCCTAAAATACAAACGGACTGCAGCTGATTTTACAATCTATAGGAGTAGCAAATTTTGTACTGGGAATAATGCTCTGCTTAAGGCAGTGCCCTGACAGGACTCTCTGGGTGTGAAAAGGAAACCTGCAGAGATGTTCTCAAAGGGGCAGGGGTAATGTTTCTGTATATAACAAAGTGAAGAATGCTGTGTTTACAGCTCTGGGAAGAGGGTGAGTGACATGAAAAGGAGAGAACGGGGCTGGGAGAGAGAGGCACCTGGTCACATGCCGAGAGCCTGACTTAATGAGAGGCATAGCCAGGGATTTGCAGGAACAACGCCACCCCAAACTTGTCTGCTGCTGTGTGCTCCAACGACCACCTCCCCCTTCACCAGTACTCCTCCGACTGTCAGTAATACATAGTAATATTGTTTTGTTGGGCTTTGGAGAAATGAAGGGAGTGTCCTGAGTGGGGCCAGACAAGCTGCCAAGAGGGAGAACAGCAGACAACAGAACAGTGATGGTTAGGACTGTGGGGAACCGGGGTACAGGGCAAACTGACCAGGAGATAAGCTCTCCCAAGTCCCGTGGAAACAGTATGGAGGGCTAGGGAGAAGCGTTTCACAGAATGTGGGATGGGAATTCCCAATATTTCACTTGGATATGATGATCCCTGCAGCCTGGTGAGCTTGGATCTTCTATTACCTACCTACTTATGTAGAAGGTAAGTTTATGACCATCTTTCTCTTCCCTTCTCTGTATTCTCTCCCCTCTTTCTTTTTTTAAAGAAGAATTAGTTAAGCATCTAAAACATCTTTAATTTCTATGTAGTTAAAAAGGCAAAGAGACACCAGTGCCCAAATACACTCATATCTTCCTCTCACACCCAAGAGAGACAGTGCTACCTCCCCTCACCCTGCTATTAGGGAAATAAGACGGTCAAAGAGGATCCGATCTCAATCCTTCCCACGTCCAATCCAGCCCAGTCAGGATTGCTTTTATCCATTATGGTCCATTCTGGTCTGCAACTCCCTCCAGCTTAACCAAGTCTCATTGTGAACCCTTCCCAAACCTTGGACCTCGCTCTTCCTATCCTCATCTCTGCCCTGACCCAGCCAGAACCCAGCGTGCCATTCACACACTGACCACGACACCAACAAGAATAGGCTCCTGACCACATGTGATAAAATCCTCCAACTCAACACTATGGAAACGTCTCTCCTCTAAAAATAAAAATCACAACTTCTCTCCTTCTGAACCTATTTTACTGGCCTTCCTCTCACTAAATTTTCCTGCCTTCAGGACCCATCATTTCCTCTGATTAATCCTTACAGCCTCTCAAGGCCAAGAGCCCCATCTCACCACCAACCCCACTCACCACACACACACACAAACACACACACACCACCCTTCCCAGGGTCCAGCCCCTTCTCTGCCAAAGGGAGAGAGGGCCCCCCCGAGAGTGACAAAGGCGCCTCTGTTTCCTCAGACCTGACAGCCCGGTCCCATGACCTGTGCCTGCTGACACACTCCCTCCTCATGGGGCCCAGCCTCCTCAAACCCACATCCGGGCTCTCGAGAGCAAGGCAGCCGCAGCCTAAGCCCCTGGAGGCCAGTCACAGTTCTTCCTTCCGATGCCCCAGCAAGAGAGCCCTTTTCCTCCGTCCATGCTGGGGAGCTGTTTAAGGGGCGCACGTGTCTAAGGCTAGTCCAACCAGGCTATGTACTCCATCCTTTCCTTGGGCATTGGGATCAAACAACATCCTTAATTTCTTAAGAGTCAGCATTTGTCTAGCATCCTCTCATCACTATGCATTACTTTGCAACTTTTCAGTTTCCACATCTCCCCAGAAGCATGCAAACCCTTTGGGAGTCAAGGAGAGAATGCGCACAGTACCCGCTCTTTACACAACCCTCCAGGCGCCCCTTCCTTGAAGATGAGGCACCTTATGGTCATGTGCTCCTGATGACCTTCCAAAGAAGCCCTGCTGGCACACCTCTACCCACTGGTGCCTTAATGCCCTGAGTTTTGTCCATTTTCTCTCAAATTCTTCATTCCCAAGTGTCCTGACTCAGAAGTTGCGAGAGAGAAACTCCAAGGCGTGGAAGGAGGAAAGTGCCTGAGCCCTGGGGTGGGATTCGGGCTCCTCATCAATCCTTCTACCCCAAGACAGTTGGTTCCATTCGAGGATAGCACCGTTCTCAAGAGGACAGGCACCTTGGGGAAACGCCCTGCGTGGGACCAGCTGCCTCGGAAAAACCACCTCCCTGACCCCTGCTCATTGATCCCACTGGTACTTGCTTTCCAAGTAGCTCCTACTTCATGCCCCCAAACCAGTCACAATTTAAAACTCTTTAGGAAGAAATTAAATAACTATTCTCCATTGGAATAATACAGAAGATCACACTTACCTTTTGCCAAGACTGGAACAGTTGTTCAAGCGTTCCCTCCCACCCACCCCATGCCAATTGCATTTGAATTACTTTGAAATACCATCTGGGAGAAATCATCATCACAAATATTTAAGGTTCCAATTCATAAAAAGGCAAAGAAAGAAAACACACACATACACCCTACCTGTGATTTGGGAACTGTCCAGAAGAGCATTCCTAAACACCCTCAAAACACTTGCTGGCTCCATCTCCTTCCTCCCCCAACAGTATTCTACCTTGTCTGCACGAGTCTCAGTGAGAAAGGAAAAGAACAAAGTGAAACTCTCCTAAGAACTCATGTGAGAAGGACGATGCCTATGCTCACTGCTTCTTCAGTGGCACAAGGAGGCCGGCCGGAGGAATCATTCAAAGTAGAGTCAAACCTGTGGGGTGCGAGTCCACGCGTCTCAGATCCCTGCACCCTACGCAGAGCTAGAACGGGTCACTTACCTGCAAGCTGTTACCAGGGGGACTGGGTCTCCCAGGCCTGGTCTGCGTCTTGTGAAAGTTACATACCTCAGAAGGTTAAAGCTCAGATCAAGCCTCTTGGCGAAATGTCCACAGTCCCTGCCGAGGTGCTCTGGAATTTCTCTGCAGTCCTGGCCTATGTAGGACACCTGGAAGTTAAATGGAACAGAAACACTGTGGCAAACGGAAATCGCCCAGCTGCTCACAGCCCTGAGTCATTGATCCGATGATTGCTTCCGCAACTTTAAAGGCAAGCTACACACATACACATACACACACACACACACACACACACACACACAGAATGCCATATCTGTGGCTGTTTTTCTGATCAGATCAGCTTTGGGGGCTGCAGGGACTCTGCCAACAGCTCCCCCTTTCCTGGTACACTTAGCATGATGAAGACGAATCCCGGCACAATGGAAATTAGACTGAAATTGGCCGGATTCAGATGTCCAAAATAAAAAAAAATAAAAACCCAATGTCAGAGCATGGCAGTATAATCACAGCAATCAGCCTCTAGTTCAGGGGCCTTTCCAACAGCTGCCCCTCTGGCTCTCCTCCTCCACTGCCTCCCCCGCCCCCAAGTACCCTGTTATGCACATTACCTCGTAAAGATACAGCAGATGCACTTACCAGTATTCAACCTGCATGGTGCTGAACAAATAGGGTTGGACAAGCAAACCTTCCCAGACCGCCAATCCCATCTTATTACCACTGTGTATCAAATGTCCGCCTCGCTCTGAACAAAGCTGATTCAAAGGCAACAGGGCAATGACTCCAAGGAGCCTCTTGCCATCAACACCTCTCTGCTTGCAGAGCTGTGCCCCGAGGCATTGTTTTATTTATATTATTAATCTAGTGTGTACCCAAATATTAAAAAGCTGGAGTAAAATTTGACCCTAAAACTTCTGACTATGACAAGGTCAGAGGGTTTCTCACTGCTCCAACCACCCCGTTTTTGAAACCCATTTTTACAGATAGCACTCCGAGGGCAGGTTTGGCAAATCATTCCAAAAACCATAAAACAAGCCTGTAGGTCAGAGTTGGCCAGTGAGTCACGATACATGATGCTTCCCTAGAGGACTCCAGGTAGAATTCTGCCAGGTAGAAAGTCTGGCCCATCACACAGCTATAACCTTGATCCTTCTCCCACCTCCTGCCCCACAAATACAGTCTTCTACGCATACAGACAACAATATCTTGGAATGAGTAAGAGATTCCCCAGGGGGTTATGATTCCTAATGGGGAAACAAAAATATGGTGGACATCTCAGATATTAGGTTTAACCATATGAATTACTAATATTCAATCATTTTAGAACTACAAAAACAGCACTTTCCTATGGCTGAACCTAACACAAATCACACTTCACCCTAGCACCCTCAATGTTTCAAGTCATCTCTCCGTCCTCTCCTATCCAATGAGTACAAACTGCTGACAACACAATATCCTGTATTCACAGTCCTTCAGTAACTTCATTCCTGGAAGAGAGAAAGTAGGGAGAAGGGACAGAAAACTAGTTGACTCTAATAAAATAATTTTGACTTGGGAAAATACAGGCTAAAAAAAAATAAAGTGTTCTGAGTTCCATCTAGCAAGCTCTCCTCTTTCTACATGGGACTCATCTTTCTTCTGAATTCCTTGTGTAATAAATTAACTTCAGCTTCCGAGCCAAGATGGAACTCATGCAGCAAGGAGAGACTAGGGATATAAAGCTCAATCAAAAAATAATAATAAAGCTCAATCAATCTACAGACTTCAATTTCCCTCCGGATGTCCACTCGATCAGCAGCCTGTTCTATAAGTTCACATTGATCCCCAGGACCATGGTGCTCACCATAAAACCCATCCCGTTCACCCTGGCATGCACTACCATCTTGTACATATCATCATCATTCAAGACCTCTGATATATATGACAGAGAAGCTGACAATTAGATGTAGAAACTGAGCTCTTTTCTCACAGACCCACCAAGGACTAAATCTGGTAGGGACCTGGTTTGTCAAAACCCCTCATGTTTTAAACAGGGAAACTAAGACTCCAGACACCTGCCCAGTATAATAGAGCTCCTTAGTGATAGAGCCTGGACCATGTCCTGCACCAGGAATAAGGACTTCCAACTTGGCCATGGAGTTCTTACAAATCCACATGTGGCTTTTCTTCATCAACAAATGTCAATGGCACATCTGTCATATGTTTTGACTTCAAATTGAGTCTTCCTAACTAAAAGGTCAAGAACTACCTCATGACAGCATGTTGAAGGCCCCAGAAGAGTGTCAGACGCTAGGAAAAGAAATGGATATTTGCTCCCCTTTTTCCTCAGTAGGATTTCCCTTCAGACGAAACAGCAACACTAAGGAGAACTTATCACCACAAAGCATTTGAATCATTCACAGCGTGTCTGACAAGACTTTCATAACAGCTGGTTTTATTGCATGGTCTTAACAGCACAACATCCCAAGGAAATTAAACAAAGCACAACTTGTTCCTATTCTACAGAGCCAAAGACCAAGTCTCCAAAATTTAATAGGAAAACCAACTTGACAAGCCACCCTCAGGTAAACTGGAAGCTTTTAGAGATGCGAGTTAAACCAACCAACCATGTTGAAAGGTTCAAATCAGCTGGAACAGGCTTAAAAGCAGTAGCCATTGTCAGGCACTGCAACTGACACTCCTAAGATACAGTTTAAGAAATGCTTCTCAGCAGAAAACATTACCTCTCAGGATGTCATGAAGCTTCTTGGAGCACACACCCACCTAATGTAAGACACAGGTCAGAAGAGCCAGACCAAAAATCGTTAGCTTCTTCAGCAAACAAGAGAAGAGACGTAGAGATTAATCTTAAATGTCACAAAAGGGTATATCTAAAATGAGAAGTCATTGTATTAAGTCAATTATCTTGATTTAGACTAAACTGAGGAACCAAGTTTTATACTTTTAATTTGCCACCTTATATAGTTTGTACCCCAAAACTTCTACCTGTTGTGGCCAAAGGTAAACTGAGTCGGGGGGGGGGAGGATTAAGGAAAAGACAGACAAGAGAATGAAAGCTGGGTCTCGGTGGGACGCTGCCTCCCTGATGAGGAGACAACGACAGCGCCCACAAGCCGTGTCTTTATTTTATAGCAGATGCCACGAGGCAAAGCAGGGGCCTGATCACGTTGTTTACAGCATTCTCGTGAGTTCCAACCTGCCCTCCAGCTGGGACTTGCACGTGGCAATGAGAGGACCCTGTCCTTTCATTAGTCCGAGGCTTGAACCTGGCCAAAACACCGTAACCACGCCCCACATCTACCCTGTGTGAAATGATAGCATAAAGGGACACCATTATCAGGGAAATTAAAACATATCAAGTTAAAGATCCCTACAAAGAGAAATACCAGAAAGAAAGACAAGATTGTCTTGGCAGGATCCCCACATATATACACAACCTCTCTAAAGGGTTGCAGAAAATTAGTAATTTTCTGGCTTCCAGGACAGTTCTGGAGATGGTGAGTTTGCCCATAGTCACACAGAGAAGGTTTTATATACCTGTCCCCAGCCAGGAGTGAGGGATCTTTTATTTTAAATTTGCAGTACTGGTCCATCCATGTACTCAGCACCTAGTGGCCACTGGATAAAGAGTTGAATTAAACCAATATCCCTGGATTTATTATTCTGATGTCTGTTGGGCATAAAATTTCAAAAAGTTGCAAATGGTTAAGATTTCATTCTTTATTATGGAAGTAATATTCCATTGTAGTATGTGCCACAGCTTTTTATCCATTCGTCTATGGCACTTGGGTTGCTTCCATATGATGGCTATTGTAAAATAACACAGTGAATATAATGGTTCATATATTTTTTCAAATTAATGTTTTGAGTTTCTTCAGATATATACCCAGAAGTGGAATTCCTGGATCATAAGACAGTTCCATTTTTCATTTTTTGAGGAACCTCCATGCCGTTTTCCATAGCTGCTGTACTAATTTACATTCCCAATATTTGCAACAACATGGATGAACCTAGAGGGTAGTATGCTAAGTGAAAAAGTCAGAGAAAGACAAAAACCGTATGATTTCCCTTATATGTGGAATCAAAAGAAGAAAATAAATGAATAAACAAAACAGAAACAGACATATAGATACAGAGAACAAACTAATGGCTGCCAGAGGGGAGGGGTTTGGGGAAGTGGGTGAAAGGGTGAAGGGATTAAGAAGTACAAATTGGTAGTTACAGAATAGTCATTGGGGATGTAAAGTTCAATATAGGGAATATAGTCAGTAATCCTATATAATAAAGAGCTAATATGCTAATTAGACCGAACAGCCAAACGCCCTTCCGGACGAAGCCAGGGCTGCAAGGGCTGAGCCCCTTGCACAAATTTCGTGCATCGGGCCTCTAGTATTGTAATAACTATGTATGGTGCCAAGTGGGTACTACCAGAGAATATCTTTGTAAATTGTATAACTGTCTAACCACTATACTGTACATCTGAAACTAATATAAAATATTGAATGTCAACTGTAAAAAAAAGTTTTAAAAAATAAAAATAAATTTGCACCACTGGAAGCTGTCAGAGTAGAAACAGCCCTGGGCATGAGTTCAAGTCCCTCTGCTGCTAATTACCAGCCATATTATCTTAGATGAGTCACAGAAGAGTCTGTTTCCTCTTCCGTAAACTAGTCATACACTAACTGCCTCCAAAGGTGTTAAAAATAATGTAACAACTAACATTTATTAACTGCCTACCACCTGGCTATTATCTATTCAATCCTCATGAAATAGCCCCATGAGTCACATATTATCCTCATTTTACTTCTATAACAGGAATGAGATAACATCTTTAAAACTCAGCACCTAGTGGTCACTGGATAAAGAGTTGAATTAGACCAATATCCCTATGTCTACCACTGTATTGATGCTACTACTTTAATTGTCATAAACTGGTGGAAAAAGAAGATTGAGAACTTTATGCTGAATATGAATGATTCATTCCAGCCTATTGAAGTCATATCCATGTTGAATGAAAGATTTTATAGAGAAAGTGGAAGGAACCTGGCCAGTGTGGCTCAGTGGTTGAGCAGCAACCTATGAACCAGGAGGTCACAGTTCAATTCCCAGTCAGGGCATATGCCTGGGTTGTGGGCTCAATGCCCAGTGTAGGGCATGCAGGAAGCAGCCAATCAATGATTCTCTCTCATCATTGATGTTTCTTTCTCTCCCTCTCCCTTCCTCTCTAAAATCAATATGAATATATTTTAAATAAATAAATAAATAGAAAGTGGAAGAACTACATCTCCAAGTGTTTGAAGTTGAGGCCTATGGAACTCCTAAAAACCAGGGCAATGGCAGTCAGTCCACAGAGGGGTTGAAAACAATGACCCAGTTTCAGAACAACATCATCCATCTCATTAAGTTATTTTAATTTTATTGGTGTTATGGTTGGTGTCTTTATACTTAAACCACCCCTTTATTTGGAGTTTATAGGACTCTAAATATGAGCTTAGAAAGAGTTATGTCTGGTTTTACTATTTGTATATTTAAGCAATGTTGTGATAAAAACAATATTAACACTGTGGGCTCATGTAAGTCCTCCCCACCCTCCCCCCCTTTAAGGATATAACAAAGTTTGAGAAATACCATGTGACACACTTAAGGTGCTATTTTAGGATGGCTGTCATCAGGAACTTCAGGGGGGAGAATGCTAAAAAGACCCTCACCTCAGGGCTGCCACTTGGGGTTCGGGTCTTTAGGTTTTAGGACATGTAATGCCCCAGGGGCATTTCCCAGCTCCTCCCCTGGCAGGGGCTCAAAAATGCCTCACCCACAGGTCAGTGAATGTCCTTAGGCTGTGTGGGGTGGGCTAAAGGCAGGGGAATGGAGAAAATCAAGTTTGGGAAATGGAGGAAGCAAAAAGGAGGCACAGGGAAGTCAGCCCCATTGTCAAGTTCTCTGTGAAGCTGGAAGAAGCTACCCCCAGAGAATGCTGGATTTGAAATGCAGAGACTTAGGGTTTAAGCCCCATCCTTTTTTTTTTTTTAAATCCTCACCCAAGGATATGTTTCTTTGTTGATTTTTTTTTTTTAGAGAAAAGAGGAAGGGAGAGAGAGGAAAACATTGATGGGAGAAACGTAGATCAGTTGCCTCCTGTACCCACAAGCGAGGTATGTGCCCTGGCAGGGAATTGAACCCACAACATGATGGGTTCACAGGACAATGCTCCAACCACTGAACCACCAGGCCAGGGCCAATAAGACCATCATTTTTAACCTCTCCACCAGGCTGGTACCTTCCTGGCCTGCTCACTTCTGAACTCTGCAAAGGGAAAAACATTCCCTTTAGCCCAAAGTAATCTCAAAATCTAATTATTCCTGACACTACCTGCCTTAGGCAATCCAAGGGGAGAGTTCCAAAACCTTGCAACTATTTCTCCTTGGGTGTGCGGGAAGGTGGGAAGAGGGCTGGCTTCAGCAGAGGTTAAACAGAGAGACCTGACTTTCCCAGCAAGTAAGTCACCTGGTCCTAGAGTGGCTTGGCCCGTCCCTCCAGCAATGATAAAGAACACCTGAGGCTTCACCAGAGGTGAAGCAAGGGAAGCTGCTGTATCGCCCACGGTTTAAACTGGGGAGTTGATGTTTCCCAAAGACACCTCTTCAAGAGGATGGGAGGGCTGCAGCCTTTGCCTGCCCTGGATGAAGGGCCTATGGGTAGGAGCCCGAGCCAGTCTGCAGTGGACCCTCACCCCTAGCCGCTAGGGCCTAGCGCCTGCCAGGATGTTCTTGACGTCACTGTCTTTGGGGGCGGGCTGAGGCACTTTTGCCTTCCTGAACTCCTTCCTCCATTACTAAAAAACTAAAACTAAGATGTATCCAGGCACACCTAGGACATATGCCGGATTGGGCTCCAGACCAGCACAGTAAAGCAAGTATCACAATAAAGCCAGTCCTGCTGGTGGAGGGTCTTGCCTTCAACTTATAGAAAATGCAACATCTGCGAAGCTCAGTAAATGCCCCCGAAAAGGTAAGCCTGTATTTTACAACTGCATTGCTAGAAAGACGATATAGTAAAAAGTTTTTCTTTGATCGGAGTTCTCTTTTTGCTTCTGATTAAAGAAATGAAAACTTTTTTGTGGGCCCCGAAAAACACGGTGGGCTGTGGTCACTGACCACTCTCCCGAATCCGGCTGGCCCTGGTCAGTGAGCGCTACGACAGAGGGAGGTGCAGGCGACTTGGGGTGGCCTTCTCCCTCCCCCCACAGCTAAGGGGTGTGCCAGGCTCAAAATGGGGGGTCCCTCCTCACCAACCTAGGGGAAGCCTGGGCAGGGGACAGACTTCCCACCTGCTGCAGCCCTGAGGTGGAGCCGGGAGCCCTGCTTAACCTCGGGGCCCCCTCCCCGGACCTACTGCACCCAGGCGTGGGCGGGGCGGGCCTGGCGGACTTACTTGCGTTCCACTGACCATGAGCCCGGCCATGGTGACGGGGCGCACGACCCAAGCGCAGAGCTGGGACGTGCCCACGGCTCCCCGGGACCCTATCGCCCCAGGAGGGGGTCAGGGGAATAGGAATAGCGTCCCCTAAAACTCCATGCCCAGAGCCGTACTGCGTTAGTAGGGTCAGACTGGGACACCCCCACTCCCAATCTGGGCCGTTAGTTGGGGGAGATGGGGC